AGTGTTCCCCTTGCGCAGCAAGGGTGACGTCACTCAGGTGTTGATCGACTGGATCCGCGCGGCTCGTCTCCAGCTCAGAGAGAGTTTCAGCTCGGACTTTCCAGTTCTGCGTCTGCACTCTGACAGAGGCGGGGAGTTTTCCTCTGCCCGTCTGGGAGCCTTCTGTCGTGCACAGGGCATCCGCCAGACCTTCACGCTTCCGGCCTCTCCACAGCAAAATGGGATTGCTGAGCGCCGCATTGGCATGGTCATGGACGTCGCTCGTACGTCCATGATCCATGCGGCTGCTCCCCATTTTCTTTGGCCGTTTGCGGTTCAGTACGCAGCGCATCAGCTCAACCTTCAGCCCCGGGTCTCCTTGCCAGAGTCCTCCCCCACCTTGCGGTGGACGGGGAAGGTTGGCGATGCGTCTGCGTTTCGGGTCTGGGGATCTCGGGCGTTTGTCCGCGACTTGTCTGCGGACAAGCTGTCCCCCCGTGCTGTTCCCTGCGTCTTCCTTGGCTTCCCCCCTGACGCGCCTGGTTGGCAGTTTTACCACCCCACCTCGCGCCGTGTTCTGTCCTCCCAGGACGTCACCTTTGACGAGTCGGTGCCTTACTACCGTCTCTTCCCCTACCGCACTGCGCCCCTCCCCCCGCCGCCGCTCTTCCTAGCGCCAGGTCCTCCCCCGGTAGACCCTCTCCCCCCTAAGGGTCTTGCCCCGTCAGGTGTGTCCCAGGTAGACGCAGTCGAGCCTGTCGAGGTAGCTGTTGACTCTGGTGCTGCTAGGGGCGCTGAGCCTGCGGGTGCCGGGTCTGGGGGTGCTGAGCCTGGGGGTGCGGAGCCTGGGGGTGCTGAGTCTAGGGGTGCTGAGCTAGGGGGTCCTGAGTCTGGGGGTGCTGAGCCTGGGGGTTTGGAGCCTGGGGGTGCGGAGCCTGGGGGTGCTGGGTCTGCTCGTGTGGCCTCTGGCGGTGCTTCGTCGAGGCGGGAGCTACTCTCTCCGCAGGAGTTGCGCGAGTGGTTTGCCCGGCGCTGGAGCCGTGCTGCTGGAGCTGGAGGTACTACTGTTGCTGCTGGTCCTGGAGGTGCTCGTACTGGCGGTACTGGAGCTGCTGGGACTGGGGGTGCTGCTGGGGCTGCTGGCGTTAGTCCTGCTAAAGGTACTACTGGAGCTGCTGGCGGTGCTGGAGCTGACGGTCCTGCTGGAGTTGGTGCTGCTGGAGTTGCTGGAGCTGCTGGAGCTGGAGCTGCTGGGGGTGTTGGCGCTGGTGGTTCTGCTGGCTCTGGTGCTTCTGAGGGTGCTGGAGTTGGCGCTGTTGGAGCTGGAGGTGCTGCTGGCGCTGGTGCTGCCGCTGGGGGTACTGGTGCTGTCCCTGCTGGTTCTGGAGGCGCTGCGCGGCCGAGGCCGTACTTCGTTCCGCTCCTTGAGCAGGTTCTTGGTCTCCCGCCCTCTACTGGTCCTGCTCCTCCCTTAGAGTGTCCACAGCCTGTCCAGTCGCGGTCACAGTTACAGCCCGCCTCCCCCCTACCTGCTCCTTCTCGCTACACTGGTCCTACTGGAGGTCTTGCTGAGCGTCGTGAGCCTGCGTCTCGTCCTGCGTCGCCTGTTCGTGCTGCTCGCACTAGTGGTCGTGCTCCGCGTCCGCGTCCTCCTGCGGTCCCAGGCACACACCAGATGGCACTGCGCCCTTCCACTGCTCCTCTGCGTGTCCCGTTGCCGTCTCCTCCAGAGTCCTCTCTTCCTGTTCTTGCTGAGTCTGACTCTCTTCGTGCTGCCAGTCCTACTGTCACACGTCTCCTGGCCACTGTTGTCACTGACCCTTCCTTTGAGTCCACTGCTGCGTCTGCCTTAGTTGTTGAGCTTGTCGACTTTGCTGCTCGCTGTCGTCTAGACTACGCCGCTAGTCTCGTTGCTGAGTCTGAGTCTGTCTGTCCTCCGTCCGTCGGGGGTGAGTGTGCTCTTAGCACGGACGTCCTTGAGGACAGGCAGGAGGAGTTCCAGTGTTTTGCTGCTGCTTTGCCTCATCTCGTGTCCACGCTGATTGCCCCTGAGGGAGACCCGGATGCACCAGACATCCCGACTCCTCGATCGTACGCTGAGGCGATCGAGGGTCCCTACTCCTCACAGTGGCAGTCAGCCATGGACGTATCGATGGCTTCCTGGAAGTCCACAGGCACCTACGTCGACGAGGTTCCCCCACCTGGGGCGAACATCGTCAGTGGCATGTGGATTTTCAGGGTGAAGCGGCCGCCGGGTTCTCCGCCTGTCTTCAAGGCGCGTTACGTGGCTCGAGGCTTCAGTCAGCGGCAGGGAGTTGACTACTTTCAGACCTTCTCTCCCACCCCGAAGATGACCACTCTTCGGGTGCTGCTGCACATAGCCGCTCAGCGCGACTACGAGCTTCACTCTCTTGACTTCAGCACAGCTTTCCTGCAGGGCAGCCTGCACGAGGAGATCTGGCTGCGCCGCCCACCTGGCTTCACTGGGTCGTTTCCTCCTGGTACCCAGTCGAGCCTCCGGCGGCCAGTCTACGGTCTCCGCCAGGCGCCCCGTGAGTGGCACGACATACTGAGGACTACACTTGCGGCTCTTGGGTTTGCTCCGTCTACTGCCGACCCGTCGCTGTTTCTGCGCACCGACACCTCTTTGCCGCCGTTCTACATCCTCGTGTACGTCGACGACTTGGTCTTTGCCACTGCTGACACTGCTGGACTTGCCCATGTGAAGTCCGAGCTGCAGAAGAGACACACGTGCACAGACCTGGGTGAACTGCGCAGCTACCTTGGCTTGCAGATCACCCGGGACAGAGCACAGCGCACCATTACCCTGACTCAGTCACACATGGTGCAGCAGGTCCTTCAGCGCTTCGACTTCACGTACTCCTCGCCTCAGGCCACTCCTCTGTCTACTCGCCACTCGCTCTCAGCTCTGCCTTCGGATGAGTCCGTAGAGCCGAGTGGCCCGTACCCAGAGCTTGTTGGCTGCCTCATGTACCTGATGACCTGCACACGACCTGACCTAGCATACCCTCTTAGCATCTTGGCACGCTATGTTGCTCCTGGGAGACACCGACCAGAGCACATGGCTGCAGAGAAGAGGGTGTTGCGCTACTTGTGCAGTACGTCGGGCATGGGGCTAGTGCTTGGAGGGCGACGTCCAGTGGTCCTCACAGGTCACGCAGACGCTTCTTGGGCTGACGACCAGGCTACGCAGCGGTCGTCACAGGGTTACACCTTCAGCCTTGGCTCCGGCTCTGTTTCGTGGCGGTCTACCCGCTCGTCTTCTGTTCTCGGCTCCAGCTGTGAGGCTGAGATCTACGCAGGGGCCATGGCTGCACAGGAGCTACGCTGGCTCACCTACCTGCTGACTGACCTTGGAGAGCCGCCTCGTTCTCCTCCAGTTCTGTACGTAGACAACAAGGCCATGCTGGCCTTGTGTCGGGAGCACAGACTGGAGCACAGAACGAAGCACATTGCTCTTCACTACTTCCTTGCTCGTGAGCTGCAGCAGCGTGGTCAGTTGCGCCTTGCTTACGTGGCCTCTGAGGCCAACACTGCTGATATCTTTACCAAGGCACTTCCGCCTTGTGATCATCAGCGCTTCTGTACGATGCTAGGTCTTGTGCCTACTTGGCCTCACTTGCTCACTTCTTGACCTTGCTTGTACTGTGATCTATATATACCTGCACTTGCTTGTTTACCTTTATATATGATCTTGCATGTGAACTGGCCTTGTGGCCTTGCTCTTGTGCTCGGACTGTGTGGTGACGTTGTGATCCACCCTGAGCTTGCTTTGCTTTGCTTGACTGGTCTTGTGACCTCTTGTTCTCCCCCACTTTGCCTATGGGGGTGTGTCAAACTCATATACTATAGTCTGTGTAGGCTGTAGTGGGGTAGACAATATGGGGTACAACACTTTTAGGTTTTCCTACTTGTACCCACCTGCTTGCTAGTTCATTCATTCCTCGTTCTTTCACAATTGTGTCTGATCGTGATTGATCGGGTTGTTTGAGGCGGTTGATCGAGTTGGAGCGATTAGCTGATTGCCCCTAATTGCCTGAAACCGGCTTCCTGCCTTCCTATAAGTTATTGATCGCCTTTGATTGAGCCGATCAAAGACGATTGGGCCCACGTCCTTATCGACGATTATGGATGATTGGACACATTTGGTTTCACTTGTAGGGTAACTTACGTGAACAGTATTTTCTTCCAAAAGTCTTGGAGGGAAATCATTGTTCACGTTAGTTCCCCTAAAAGTGAAACCAATTGTATAAGGTTGCTACGCAACCCAAAAACTCAGGCTGCTCTTCGTGACGGCTGCAAATTGGTGAACAGTGCGCGAAACTTGCAAGTCCGTCCTCCCAACGATTGTTGCTGGATCAAGGACGTAGAGGTAGCGAAACATTCGCAGTGTCAAAATGGCCAGCCGAAGCACGACCTGAAAGCTGGTCGGACTGATGTAGTTTCTTAGTTTGGAAAATGAGACACGCCCTCAGGACTTTGAGCAGCTTTCACGCTGTTAGGGCTTCGTTAGTATGTCTCAGCACAATGGCAGCTCTTGTTTCACCTGGTTGCGCAGCCTACCCAAATCAAAGTTGGCGAGCATAATGGAAATCACCTGCAGTGGAGAATGCCTTCTTCTTTTGCCACCGCTGTGCCCTCGCCTCGCCGCGCCTCTCTTCTCCCGCGACCAATGCCCCTCGTATTCCGTGCTCGCCTGCTCCCCTCGTGCCACCTATCGCGCGGCATACACGCATTGACTTCCGACTGCGTGCAATCTCACCGCACGCGTTTCCTATCTGTATCGTGTCGCGACAGCGCGTCGCCTGTGCGAGTTGGCGGCATTTCCCCTAGCTGCAGCTCCTTCCAGTGAAACTGCCGATTAGGAAACATGAGGGGAAGGGCTTAGACGTCTTATAGGCTCTGCTCGTCATCTCATCTTACCCTGATCCACTATTTAACGAATACCATAACCCTAGGCGGTCGTAGTGCCTCAGTACGTGCGCGGAAGCGGGTGCGCCATGGGGCTGGCGGACAAGCTCCCCACCGTGCAGCTGCCCGACCACCCTTCCCCGCGCCACCCGCCGCCATCTGACCATTCACCTGCCGCTTCCCCCTCCGCCAACCCGTCCCCCTCTTCCCTCCGCCCGGGCCTTGCGACCGGCCGTGGGGTGGGCATCGTTCCGCTGCCCAAGTTCCCCTCGCGGCTGGACCGCACTCCCGGAGACGCGTCGGGCGCAAGCCGCCACATCAACCGAACGCACTCCGCGCCGCCACAGGAGTTATCGGACGTGTGCGTCGAGCGGCCCCTCGAGCCCCCCGCCGTGCCGTCCGTGCGCTCCCCCTCCTCCTCCTCCGTTCTCAAGCCGCCCGCGGGGGCGGCATTTCGCGCGCGCAAGGACGGGGGGTCGGCGCGGCCCCAGCGGACGAGCTCGGGCGGCAACGCGGTGATGCGCATGGCGAAGATTGTGAGCGCGCCGCATGCGGGGAACGGGGGAAAGGAGAAAGGGAGGGCGGGATGGGTGACTGTAGCGAAGGGATGGGGACGAGAATGGGGCAGCGGAAATGTATGAAGCGGAAGAGGTAGGTGTATAACAAGGAGTGGGGTGGACATAGAGGTGAGTGCCACGAGGTGGTGAAGTCGTGTGCGTAGCAGGTGTGAGGGCGTGCGGGTGAAACACAATGGGCACCGGTGGGGGTTGTGCGGGCCCAGCAGAGGGCGTGTGTGGTGTTGGGGTGGTGCCGTGGACAGGGTGCATGGGAGCAGTGGCCAGCACGGGGGCGTGTGCTGAACGCCACGTGCATGTGCAGCAGCGCGTTGTGCCTGCTCTCTGCCACCGCCCCAACCCATCAACACCTTCCTCGTCTCCCCTCCCCCGCGCCTCTCTTCCTCGTCACACTCCCTCCCAATCGTTCCGCTTCCCCTTGTGCGTCCTGTGTCGTGTGCTGTCCGTCTTCCCCCCATCTCTCGCTGCACGCCCTCCTCACCCTCCTTGGCGCCCCCTCTCGCCCCTCCCGCGCGCCCCACCCCACCAGGCGGAGGACTACGACTCCACCAAGGCCTCTGCGCACCCGCCCGCCCCCCCTTCCCCCTCCGCCCTCGATTCCCCCTCCGCCCACTCAACTGGCCGCGCCGGTCCGCCTGCTGACGTCGAGTGCAGGGACGGGTGGGGGGAGGACGGGGAAAGAGAGGGCGAGGCGGTGCATGGGGAGGGGGAGCAAGGCAGGTCGCCACCGCGAATGGATGTGCTGCTGAGCAGATTCGAAGCTGGCACGCAGCAGCTGGGGTGAGGTGGTGCGGGTGGCATGTGATGTGAAATGCTGGACTCGCGTTCCCATGCACGAACGTGGCGCGTGCGCTCCCGTGCTTGCTGCTGCAACAGCACACACACACACGCCACACATACACGCCACACACACACACACGCCACACACACACGCCACACACACACGCCACACACACACACACACACACACACACACACACACACACACACACACACACACGTGCACATTGCCATTGAGCCACTCGAGCCAGCTTAGCCGCGTAATCAAGGGAAACACGACCACTGACAAGTATGAGCTTGTGACGCTCGCCCTGTCCTGCAGAACCTCCCCCCCTCCCTCCCATGCGTCACGTGCCACCATGCTTTGCAACAGCCTGCTCACCATCCATCTTCTCTCCCCCCCGCCTCCGCTCTCCCCCCTCATACAAGCGCACACCGCGCCTTGCCTGCTCGCACGCCCTTCACCCGCACCGCTTTTTCCGCACCCCCCTCTCCCATCGCCCCCCATCCCTGCAGCACGCTCCTCTGGGGCAACGAGTCCTCGCCTCTGGCGGACATCCACCCGCCGTCCCCTCCGCCCAAGGCCGCCACGCCAGCAGCAGCATCCCCCCCACAGCGCGCGCCCATGTTCCCCTCGTCCCCCAGCGTCGCCTGCTCGCCTCCCAAGCCTCCCCACCCGGCCCCCGACACCAAGGCCGCCATCCGGCTGCGCTTCGCGGGGGACAGGGCGCGCGGGGCGGCGGGGCTGTTGTTCATGGGCAAGGCCAGCCGCCGCACGCTGTCCGTCAGCAGCCACGCCTCCTCCTGCTCCGTGCTCACCCTCTCCTCCACCGCCTCCGCTCCCCCCGCCCCCGACCCTGAGTCGCCAGCCGTGGAGCAGGGGGCGGTGAGGGTGCGGCACATGCACACGGCGTCACGCGCGTCCATAGCGAACTCACTGTTCGACGACCCCATGCTGGACGCCATCTACGCCGACGACGATGCTGACCCTGACCACCCCGACCCTGACCAGGACCGCTCCGAGGACGGATGGGCGGCGCGTGGTGACAGCATAGCGGAGGGCAGGACGAGCTCCATCCACCTGGGCAGTGGGCGGCTGGGCAGCATGCGGTATGGCGAGGGCGCGGAGGAGGAGTGGGGCGTGGAGGTGGAGCGCGAGGCCAGTAGCATGCGCGCGCTGGTGCAGCAGATCGCGGACAGGGGCGGCCTCGAGGACTGCCTCGCCAGCTATGCGTGAGTGCCCCGCGCGCAAGAGAGAGAGGGGAGAGGACGGGAATACATGGTGGGGGGGGACGGCTTGGGGAGCTTGCTGTGAGTCGATAAGTTATGGTGGGTGTGTGTCTGGGTGGGTGTGCGTGCAGGTGAGTGTTAAGTGCAGTGTAACACCATGTGTGCATGGTTTGAAGGATGAGGTGGGTGAAAGGGCCCCAGCCCCAGTGGTCTATGCTGCTGCCGTGTCACATGTACCGCCTCATGCATGCATCATGATCATGTGTGTGCTGCTGCCTGCCACACCTGCCCGAGCCTGTGTGAGAGAGGAAGAGGCCACTAGAGTGGCGCGTGCAACGTGCTGTGCTTCACTTCCAGGCAATGCCATCTCTGTCCTCTCCTCCCCTGCGCTCCCAACGCCCCATGCGCCATGTGCGAGCTGGCATGGGTGGCAGTGGCATGCGCATGGAGGTGGTGCGGCGAGCGGTGAAGGAGGCGGACGTGCAGCTGGCCGTGAGTGCGGGCGCGCTGGAGGGGCAGGCGTGGGGCGCCGTCGAACCCATGTTCAAGACGTGGCTCTCCCAGGCCCACTCCCTCGTCAGCCCCCTCCCTCCCCTCCCCTCCTATCGTATCAACCCCCTCACGCTCACTGCCATGCACGCTCACTCGGATCAGCGTGCTCACATGCACTGTCTGAAAAGAACCTTATGGTTGTTGTAAGGTTGAATGAAGGATGGTTGTTGTACTCATAGCCGAGCGGAGTGGTGTGGTTCTGGGTGTGTGCAGCGGTGGGGCAGCGCTATCGACGTGTTCATGCTGGGATGGAATCCATTCCTCAACAACTGCCCTCCACCGTTGCCTTGCTCTACACGTGAATATCCCATGCCTACACTAGGGTATGCATGTTATCGATATTCTCTAACCTACATGTGCACATACACATACGTTTGCACATGTACTTGAACATTCATTCTCCTTACTTACCCTCCCCCCCTGCCCCCTCTCCCTTCCCATGCTGCCCGTCCTGCCGCGCCCCCCCAGGCGTTGGTGCTGGTGCAGCGGGAGCGCGCGCTGCTGGCGGCCATCTTCAAGGACATCCCCTCCTTCGCACTCTCTGCGCCGCCCGGCCCCGCCAAGCCTGCGCTGGCGCGCCTGCCGTCGCTGGCGGCGAAGCTGCCGACGCCGACGGCGCTGCTGGCGGACATCATGGTGGAGGCGGGGCTGCTGACAGCGCTCTTCCACCTGCGCGCCAGTGCCACCGCGCTGCTGCACACGGCACCGGCGCCCGAGAAGATCTTCGTGCTGCTCGACATGTACTGGCTGCTGCGCTCCACCACCGACAACGTGAGCGTGCATGGCTGGGGGGGTGCCATGGCAGGTCAGACTGTGAGGCGTGACATTTGTATGGGGAGGGCAGGGAGGTGCACATAGTTGTATGGTATGATGCTGCGGGCAATGTGCGTGTGCTGCAGTGAGCAAAGTCAAAGGGGGTTGGTGCATGTGTGCGGCAGGGCAATGGTGAGGAGTGAGAGTGATGGTGGCTATTGGGTGGCGCAAGGAGAAGAGCTGCGCCATCATGCCTCGCCTCTCCTTCGCATCTCGCTCTTCCTTCTCTTCCTTCCTCCCCTCCTCTCTCCGATCCTCTCTCCCCCAACTTTCCCCATTCCCCCCTTCCCCCTTTTCGCTCATTCCCCCCGCGGGGCCTACTTGGCGCGCCCACTCGCTGCGCCCCTGGTAGATGAGGGAGGTGGCGCCGGCCAGTCTGGCGGAAGCGTGGGGGGCGCTGCCACGCAGGGCGGCGGAGGCGGCGACCAAGAGTTTGGCGGAGCTGCAGGCCATGGTGGAGCAGGGGTGCAGGGCGCCGCCCGCCACCACCACCAAGAAGTCCCTCGGCGCCCGCCTAAGGTCACGCCCTCCGCTCACTGCCATGCGCTCTCCGCCTCGCACTTGTCACACACCCCTCATTTCGCTCCTCCCAGGCTTCTCCTCGTCTCCTTATCCACGTGCTCGAGCAAAAAAGTAGTTGCTCTGTTCTGTTCCAACTACCTCGCTCTCCGGTCCACCCTGTGTGTGTGCCCACTCCACCTTATCTAACGCACTCTGCTGGCCCACGCTCGCCCTACCTGGTCTGCTCCCCCTCCCCCTGGCACACATGCATGGTGCAGGCTGCCTCGGCCGGGGCGCAAGAAGGCGCAGGAGGGGGCGCCGAGCAGTGTGGCGGTGCACCCCGTCACCAGCTACGTCGTCAACTACCTGCAGCAGTTCCAAGACAGGTCCGCCCCGCCCTGCCCCGCCCCGCCCCGCCCTGCCACTGCATGCTGCAATGGCTGCTCCTGTGACGTCGCCATGAGGTAGCAGCAACAGCAGGATGGCTGGCTTATGGAAGTCTGCTCGCCAACTCACAACAGCCCTGCTACTTCATGCCTATAGTGCTCTCCTCTCCTTTCCATGCCCACACCCTTTCACACATCTCTATCCCTTGCTCCCTCGCGCTCTCTCTGGCGCTGCCCTGTGTCGCCCTCAGGTCGCATGCGGGCAGCTACGGGTGCATATTGGAGGAGGCGCTGAGGGAGTTTGAGGAGGGCGCGAGTGTGGAGCGCGAGACAGGGCTGCTGCTGGAGGGCGTGCAGGCGAACATGGAGGTGAAGGGGCGCGCGTGCCCCACGGACATCACCTGCGCCATCTTCCTCATCAACAACCTCCACTACCTCGCATCTTTTGCGTTCGTCCATGCTTCTCTCTGCCCTTTCTCTCTGCTCTCTTCGCTCTTCTCTTTACCCTCTGTTCTCTTCTCTTTACCCTCTGTTCTCTTCTCTTTACCCTCTGTTCTCTTCTCTTTACCCTCTGTTCTCTTCTCTTTACCCTCTGTTCTCTTCTCTTTACCCTCTGTTCTCTTCTCTCTACCCTCTGTTCTCTTCTCTTTACCCTCTGTTCTCTTCTCTTTACCCTCTGTTCTCTTCTCTTTACCCTCTGTTCTCTTCTCTTTACCCTCTGTTCTCTTCTCTTTACCCTCTGTTCTCTTCTCTCTACCCTCTGTTCTCTTCTCTTTACCCTCTGTTCTCTTCTCTTTACCCTCTGTTCTCTTCTCTCTACCCTCTGTTCTCTTCTCTTTACCCTCTGTTCTCTTCTCTTTACCCTCTGTTCTCTTCTCTTTACCCTCTGTTCTCTTCTCTTTACCCTCTGTTCTCTTCTCTTTACCCTCTGTTCTCTTCTCTTTACCCTCTGTTCTCTTCTCTTTACCCTCTGTTCTCTTCTCTTTACCCTCTGTTCTCTTCTCTTTACCCTCTGTTCTCTTCTCTTTACCCTCTGTTCTCTTCTCTTTACCCTCTGTTCTCTTCTCTTTACCCTCTGTTCTCTTCTCTTTACCCTCTGTTCTCTTCTCTTTACCCTCTGTTCTCTTCTCTTTACCCTCTGTTCTCTTCTCTTTACCCTCTGTTCTCTTTTCTTTACCCTCTGTTCTCTTCTCTCTGCTCTCTCTACCCTCTGCTCTCTGCTTTCCGCTCTATGCTCTCTTCTCTGCTCTCTCTTCTCTCTGCTCTCTTCTCTCTTCTCTATGGCCCTGGAGCCTAGGACCCACGCAACCTAGCCTCTGTCCCGTGCGCTGTTGGTGTGGTGGCAGGGAGAAGAACGAGCACCCGTGTGCGGGGGCGTTGAGTGCAGTGTTGGAGAAGCACACCGACGCGTTTGTCAGCCTTGCGCTCAAAAGGGTACATGCCCCAACACTCTTCCTCCTGTTGCCCCACCCGTTTGCCTGTGAGCTCTATCACAGAAAGCCATGTCTGTCCTCCCTGGGAGCCATGCCTCCCATCCGCCTACCGTCCCTTACCCAGCCTCCTGCTTCTTCTCTCCATGCGAATGCCTTCCCCACTGGTGAGGGCGTGCAGATTCTGGACGCATTGGGGCCGGGCGACAGCAGCAGCATCGATGACAACGAAGTCATCAAGAGGTGAGGGGTGGGGGGACAGCCATGGTGGCCGCACACTGCAAACAATCCTCATGCTGCTAGAAGCGCCTGTGTCATGCCATGGTACATGGGGCTGCCCCCTGCATACCATGCCATCCCCGACCACCCCGGACCATCCTCACCGTGTCATGTCCCTTCTCATCACCGATCTTCCATCCCCCCCACCCCCCACGTGCATGGGGGGGCGGGCAGGCTGCGGGTGTTCAACGCGGCGTTTGAGGAGCTGGCGCTGGAGCAGAAGGACTGGAGCTTCACCAACGACGACTGCCGTCGCAACATGCGCCAGCGCCTCGCCTCCACCGTGCGCACCACCTACGCCAAGTTCCTCCTGCCGCACAGGTGCGCGCTGCCCTGCCCTCTGCCTCTCCCACCGCGCGCCTTGCTTGCACATCGCGCGTACAGGAGCCGGTGGGTGGGAGACGTGTCCAATGCTGCTGCAGTTCCACATGAACGGACCACTCACACGCTCCTATTTCTCCTCCATCCCTCCACTCATGATAATCCCATGTGCCTCCCTTTGGTACAAATCCATCGTGGAGCCTTGTGTGACCAGTGCCCTTTGCCACTGTGTCCCTCGCCACTCGCCCCCCCCACACGCATCTGAACCCCCCTCTCCACTCCCTTCCCCACTTTCCCCCCGTCACAATCCTTGCATGTGCACCCCCTGCGCGGGGGGGGATCAGGGAGGACCTGTGCACGATGCCGACGTACCACTGGGCGCCGGACGGGGTGGAGCGCCTCATGCAGAAGTCCTTCCTCTTCAACAGCTCGCTGCTGCCCTTCTCTGCCTCCCTGTAGCGCATGCCGCACCGCGCAACACCATGGCAGTTATCGCTCCACAGGGCGGGGGACAGCCCGTCGTCTGGGAGCTGGGTTGAGGGTGCCTCTGCTGGAAGGGCTCTGTCCTGTGCACTGCCCACTCACTGAGAGGGCTCAATGCAAGTGCGCCCGTGAATTGAGGGGGGGGAGGGGCAGGTGGGGTGGTGGGCAATGGGCACCCAGGAGGTGGTGGAAGCGTGTGTGGTGCTGGAGTACCACCTCCCGCCTAGCTATAGCAGTCAGCAGCACGGTGTTGGAAACAAGTAATTTACGCTTCTGATGTGTCGACACATTGAACTGCAAACGAGGCGAATTACAGCGAAGCAACGTCGAATCAACCGAGGAGGTTGACAGAAAAGTAACAGCAAGAGGTTAGCGAAGGTCAAAGGTCAGCGACCTTTGACTCGTCGAAAGGCAGCGCGACAGCAAGGACACACAACTTACTCGGTATTGAGCAGTTGCCCGAGTCGTCGCTGTATCGAACCGCAACAGCAACAGCAACAGCTAGTTGCATCTATTTATATTCCCTGTAATCTTGTAAAAGCTTTGTATTACTTTGCTATAATTAATCGATGTTGCTCTCACACACTAGTGCAAGGTGGTTCAATCAGTTCACTAAGAACACTTCCACAATTACATCATCTCTATTCAGGGTCTTCGCCTTGAAACGATCCTAAGGACTTTTCTCAGCCCGACATGGTATGAGAGCCTCCAAGGCAAGATCCAACTTCATTTAAACTCTTACAACACAAGGCATGGCAACACAGAAGGAGAGAAGCTCCTCTAACGGATCTCCGGGCACTACTCCTACTCCACCTCCAGCCTCTGCCCTACAGACAGAGGGAGGCACGGCAACAAGACCAGCTGCTGAGTCTATTGAAACTCCTGCGAACCAGGCAACCGGCTTCGATCCAAGCATGATGGAGAAATTCTTCTCCTTCATGTCGTTCTACGAACAACACCAGCAAGCAGCACCTGCACAATGAAACAACAGCGACAACAACAATGGCGTCACTCCAATGAGTCTTGACGGCTCATCCTATGCACACGGAAATCAGCAGCAGCCTACCTTTTGCTTCGTACGAGCCTCAACGCGGCTTCACTAGCTTCATGCTGAATCAACCTCCACCTGGACAAGAAAAGACATTGGATGCGCTTCAAGTACGGTCACAGTTTGCACACGTTCTGAAACTGCAAACGTCAACACCGTTCGACGGCAAATCCTTGGATTCTATACCTGGTGGTTTGAGTTCGAGCTGATAATGGAGGGCGCGCAAATCCTTGGATTCTTCGACGGCTCCATGCCATACCCAATGCACGGAACACAGTACGACAAGCAGCAGTACACGTATCAGTCGCTGATGGCGTATACAATTCTCCTGCGAAACATTATGCCAAATGAGCAGCAGAACATCTGGTCTTATCATGGATGCGGCAACTCCGCCGAGCTCGCGTACAACCACCTGAAGAACCTATCAAGCAACCGACAGCGTTAATCAGAGTCGTCTCATGGCACAACTGACAACAGTGGAAATGAAACCAGACGAAAAGGGAATGGCGTATATCAGTCGCTGCCGCGGACTGCGCGACAGACTCCTTCGATGCGGTGGATCAATATCCGGAGAAGCCTTTGTCACTGTCGTCATCTCTGGCCTCGGCCCTCATTGGCGCTCCACCCGAGCTATTCTCCGAGCTCACGGAAAGATCTCCGAAGCAGCCCTCTGCGCCGAAATCCACGCCGAATAGCAGGACATGGACCTGCACGAAGAGCGTCACAAGAGAAGAGCGTCAGCACATGTGTTCGCGTTTCACACTCAACGGCGCTACAACAACAACAACAACCAACAGAACAAGCATCAAGCACAACAATATGTACCACCATTCTGTCACCTTTGCCGAACGTCAGGACACCCCCGCACTCACTGCCCAAATCAGCAGCAACCAATACCACCACGACGCCAACTTTGACCTTCAAGCAGTCAGGTGGCTTCAACACAGCCGCATCCCACCAACCAAGTGCAGTCTTCAACGACACAATCTGCACAGGGCACAAAAAACATCGTGAGCTGCATGACAATAACAAACTCCTACGTCACCGAATCACCACCGACCTACTCACCAGAGGAACTGCTCGACGAAAGGACTCCTCGCCGTGAATCAGTGGAGCCGAACCCAACGTACGCAACCATTGCCCAGAGCGAGCCGTCCTTGAAAGACACCTGGTTCTTGGACAGCTGCTGCGGACAACATATGTGCTCTTCGGGTCGTTTCATTCAACGGGAACAACGTCTCAACCGCAAAGTCATCATCACTGTCGCCAACAACCAGAACCTGCGCACACGACGACAAGGGGTGATTCAGCTTCAGTCTCGAGAAACCAATGTTATCCTACAGATGTCGAAGGTCTTAATCACAGAAGGACTCGGCTATAACTTACTGAGCGTCAGTCAGCTCATGGCTAAAGGAATTCATCTTGAAGCAGACAGCACCACCTAGGAGTTCAAGCTGTACAACGGGAAGGATGGACTCTACATCGGGAAGGCAGTACTGAAGAACAATGTCTTCGTCCTCGACTTCGTTCCAGATCAAGGCACCTCCGACAGCGACGGAATAATCAACTTCACCTCTTGGACACATCCGCCAGATCTCGACCCTGACTTCAGTCCTGGAGGCTTCTGGTACTCGAACACTATACTTAAAGCAGAACGGACGAGAGCATTAGCAACAATTCAACAGACAACAACAGAAGCAGAGACAACACCGACAGGAGCAGAGACAACACTGGCAGCAGCAGAGACAATAACGGCAGCAGCAAAAACAACACCGTCAGAAGCAGAGACAACACCGACAACGACACCAATCGCAGGCCCCTCAACAGCACCAATCCCCAGCAACAACACTCCACCTACTCCTGCGCAACAGCTGAATCCCACTCCACGCGAAGTCCACAGAAGCGCCAACTCCAACCTGTACAGGCGATCACCTGGACATCGCGCCAGCGAATCAATCTGGCATGCAAGAATGGGACACGCGAGCAACACAACATTAAATGACACAATAAGAGCTGGAGTACTCGACAAGGACTCACTACTTCTACACGACGGCAAAGAGCTTCAACGAGTCCGCGGAACATGATTTACCTGCCCTGAAGCCGACTTACCCCATCAGCCGTTCGTCTCTCACCACAACCCGAGCGCACCAGCATACGCACCACTGGAGAAAGTCTACAACGACATTCTGTACGCTCGCGAAAGCGGACAAGGAGCATATAATTACGTCATCACGTTCATCGACGCCGCCACCTGATACGTCCGGCACCTCAACCTTCCGAGCCGCGACATGGCGTTCGAAGCTTTCGTCGCCTGGATTCCAGTAGCAGAACGGGAATTAGGAGTGAAGCTGAAAATTTTCCAGTCCGACGGGGGAGGGGAATATCAGTCACAGAGGTTCAAGCAGTACCTGGCAGAGAGAGGCTTCAAGCAATTCATCTCTCTTCCTTACGCCCATCAACAGCAAGGTGTGGCCGAAAGAATGAACAGGACCCTCCAGAACACCATGCGCAAGCTGCTACGTGACATGTGGCTACCCAACCACCAGTGGCCCGAGGGAATGGACCATGCTGTAATGCTGCACAACTTTCTCTCGTCATCATCGCTCCTGAACAACGCATCACCGCATCTGTTGTGGACAGGAAAATTGGGCAGCACAAAAATGTTACGAGTGTTTTGCTGCATGGTACAGTACCGACCCCTGAGTGCACGAGCCGGCAGATTTTCCCAACGCGCACAGTGAGGACTACACCTGGGCATCGAAAAACACTACAACGCGTGGAAGATTTTTGACATCCACACAAAGAAAACAGTAGCAGCACGTGACGTGATTTTCTACGAATGGCTCACCCTTCAAACGTACCTGAACAACTTGGAAGCATAACGAGATGTCACAGGCGGATTTTGTGGTGACCGAGCCTTCGCTTCAGCAGCAAATGAAGCTGACTAGGACGAGCAGAACGTGGACGGAGCTTCGGAAGAAGTCGGACCTCTTCCCTACTGTTCGGTGGACATCCCGATGGATAGCGACAACCCTCACGAAGGCATCAACGCCGAAGTCTACTACGACTTCGCCGACAACGGTTACGTTACACCCCAACCAGTCAACACCGACATCTCAGAACGCATAGGACCCAATTTCTTACCTGATCCAGAAGTGGGAGACGAAGCAGTTTATCCCAAGGACCCGAATCTTCCCCGACTCTCACAGAGTGGACTACAGATACTCGGTCTCGTCACCGCCGTCCACGTAGCTTCGCCGCCGAAGGAGCCTACTACAGTTCAGCAGGCTCTGGGGGGGGAGCACAGGGAAAAATGGCGCGAATCCATAAACAGGGAATTGAAGGCGCTAGAAGATAGAAACACCAGGGAGATAGTGCCTATCGGAGTGGCACGCAACAAAACTGTCCTCACGGGAAAATAGGTCTTCCACATGAAAAAGAAAGCTGACGGAACGATGGATAAGTTAAAGGCGCGTTGGGTCGTATGCGGCTTCGACCAAGAACATGAACGAGACTTCACCGAAACTTTCGCACCAGTTAGCCGACATACTTCTCTCCGAATTCTCCTCGCGATAGCCGCCATGAAGCGGAAGAAGCTCCACCAAATCGATGTTGCCAACGCTTTTCTCTACGCTCCCGTCGATGCCGAGATCTTGGTCAAGCAACCGTACGGGTCTAACAAAAACCCCAACCAAGTCTGTCAACTACTGAAACCTCCGTGCGGCATCAAGCAAGCCCCGAGGCTGTGGCAGCAGTATCTACACACCCAACTAATCCGCATCGGATTTCGCCAACTGCCGCATGACCAAGAGATGTACCGACTCACAAAAGGCGCCGACTACATTCTACTCATCGTCTACGTGGACAATTTACTCTACATCGGCTCAACCGACGGCATCACGACCTGGTTTGAAGGGGAGCTGCAGCAGGACCTCACACTCACCGTCTCCTCAATAGTCACGCAGTACCTGGGACTCAACATACAAGACGGGGAGAACTCGATCTACG